CTCCTGTTTGTAAACTTGAAAACCTCTCTTCTTAACTGCGTAGGCTACATGAAACGCGCCAGCAGCCAGATGTGTTACCTAAGCACAAACAATACTTTACCCAAACATATCAGGCCTACAGAGTGAAACAATGAAACTGATTCTTGTCCTATGTCCTATAGTTTTAGACAAGACAGAACACAAAGGGATTCATCAGAATATAGAGCTGAATACTGAGAAGGCAAATAGAGCCAACCGGGGCTAAAACACCCTCCGCAGCCACGATCTGCCATCAACAACCAGTGAGCTGCATTAAGGAGCAGGCACTGCCATCTTCCAGTTCATGGTAAGGTGTATTCGAGAGGGGAAACCTAAATTTAATCCGTTGACTTCACCACACATCTTCCAAGACATTTATAATCATTCAGTAACATAAACCTCCTCGACAAAACATTACAGCTGGTAGTACAGCTATTTCATGTTGCAACAGCAGGCAAATCATGGAATGGCCTGGGTTGAAAAGGACCACAATGCTCATCCAGTTCCAACCCCCTGCTGTGTGCAGGGTCACCAACCAGCAGCCCAGGCTGCCCAGAGCCACATCCAGCCTGGCCTTGAATGCCTGCAGGGATGGGGCATCCACAGCCTCCTTGGGCAACCTGTTCCAGTGCCTCACCACCCTCTGATGAAAAACTTCCTCCTCATATCCAACCTAAACCTCCTCTGTCTCACTTTAAAACCATTCCCCTTGTCCTGTCACCCTCACAAACAGCCATTCCCTCCTGTTTATCCGCTCCCTTCAAGCACTGGAAGGCCACCATGAGCTCTCCTTGCAGCCTTCTCTTCTCCACCTAACAGTATTGGTGCTCCCCCTTAATATCTTACATCTCTTTATTTTCTCAAGCTCTTAGTTCAGCCTTATATTCTAAGCAGCCCTGCAACCAACATCTTATTCTGCTTTGTACACGAAGACTACATAACTTGCTTAACCATTTCAAACCAGAAATCTGTAAAAGGGTTTGCAATACATACAGTGTAAGAACATTGAAAAATTCTAAACATGTTTTGTTTCTTAAATCTGCTTTATAGCCCTGTGCTCTCAGATGGAAACTCTGCATACAAAGAAATCAATCAGCAAAAAACAATGCCAACTCAAATTTTGTATTATAAACACATTACAAGGTTCATTTTTTAAATAATTCCCACAATAAGGAAAAACAAAACAAAACAGATCAACAAGGAAACTGAAAGGCACATCATCAAGGTAAAAGCAAATCAGCAAAACATCTTTCGCACAAAAGGTCAAATCCACAGCCAGGTAACAAGTCTCAAACATGCTGGAAGAATTAGCTATTCCAACAGTGAAAACACAGCTTTACTTCCAATGTTTTCCAAAATACAGTTTTACTGAACAAGAGTGAAAGTTTTATAAAGAAAATCTTTCCCCAAAGAAAAGACAAAACATCTGAAAACGCTTTAAATCCAAAAGCATTGAGATCACTGCTTGCAAAGCTTTTTTTACATGGCGTATGAAACCATGGATTCTGCATGAAGTAGAATTGCTGTTACTCGCTCAACAAATATTTTACCATTTTCCCTGTGCTGGTTTTGCTTTTGCACAGAAGCGATCTGTATTTCACAGAGCCTCAGTGCTACATTAGCTACCACAGAAAAAAAAAGGGATGGCTTCAGAGTTCAAGTAAGGAAAGAAATGGTGTATTTTTCCTTTCCTATAAGCGACATCCACACACCACGCCGTATTACTATGCTAGTAGTGCCTCACCTACTTACTTCCATCCAGGCAGATGGGTAGGTGTATCCAAATTTGGAAAATGCAATTACTCATATATACAGCTAACCGAATTAAATGTGTGATCACATAGCATATGATCTGACTGAAATGAAGAAAAGCATCACTCCCCACAATTTCATCCTAAGCTCGTTTCCAAAAGGCTCTCCTTATTTTGTCATTTACGGTGGATTTTTGTTGTTTGGTTTGGGCTGAGTTTTTTGTTTGTTTTGTTTCTTTTTGATTATTTTCTAAGTCCTACAAAGATAAGAGTCCATTTATCAGTAGAGAAATAACTTCCTCATGCTTTTTGTAATATCGAAGGATTCTCATTACCAAAAGTGTGCACGCACTTAAGAACAAGTGCATGTTACAATGTACAAAGAAACATAATACAGATCCACAAACAGCAAGTGAAGTTTTCTCCATGAAGTGAAAATAGCTCAAGCAATCAGTGTGCACAAAATATAAATGTTTACTGCAATTATAATGGCAAAAGCAATTAGTCTACCATTCAAACAATTTTCCAAGCATAAAACATGTATTTTTGTCTTTGCTTCTGAGCAGAAGCAATCTCCAGGCATCTACAATGAGAGATACTAGTCAGCGACTTCTGTAATTCACAACTCACATAATTATGCTGTTACTGCTGCTTGAGAAAACCAGGAATTCATATGAGTGAAGCTGACTTCACTTGTTTCTCTCCTACTGTTTATCAGAACTTCCTCCCTAAGCAGCTCAGATACAGACGAAAAAAAATCAGGACTCCAGACAGGAGCTGACCAACCTTGCTGGAATTACTTCTTTCTCACCTTCTACATACTAAAATAGAGAGATAAGTAATAAAACGCTGCTGAAGATTCATACATGAAATACAAAAAGACTCACAGACTGGAATGCAAAGGAACATACACAGTTGTTACTATTCTGACATCACAGATAGATGCAACCCCAGAATTTCATTTTTAAATCACCTGGATCAAGACAGGTGCTCTAAGAAGCTGCTGCCTTCATGAAATCACTATATTCTATCCAGACTTCGGGTGCTATATTGATATCTAAACAACACAGCAACAGTTTCCAGCACATTGAGCACAATATCATACAGTCAAGCAACAAAAACAAGCATGACAGCTCTGAATGGCTAACACAGCAATACAGCTGTCTTCCACCTTTCCTGACAACCAGAGTGCACATAACGAAGTGAAGAAAACACCAACTCGCATTTCTTCACAACAGGCAAATATAACAAAGGTTATCTTCACTCTTCTCGAGTTTCTTTCTTTTTCTGTGAAAATGTCTTTTTTATTATTATTACTAATGCCACGTTTGAGCAGACTAACTTCATATTCTCTGCAGAGCAACCTCCTCTTCCACTCAGCCATTCCAGCCTCTCCCAAGTAAATCTGACCACGTGCAGTAGTTAACATAACAATTAATCTGTGCGCAGATAAAAGACAGGATGCAAATTGAAGTTTAACTGGAGGAAGGAAGGAATGAAGTCACAAAGCTAACTCCTGGAAACAGGTCTGCAACTCAAGTAAGATTTATACACTTAGAAGAAAGGCAACACAAGAATCAGGAAACAAGCTGTCATGCTTCAAACCACAGGCCCAATACCAACAGAACCAAGTAAACAAAACACTCCTACAGATCTCCCCTGTAACTATCCTACAAGACCTCCTGTACCTTCTATTACCAGCCAGCACATTCGGAAGGTTCTCAAACTAACTCGACTGTTAAGCTGCCTAATACAGCTGCTCATAAGCACAAGCCTACTGCATGCAGCTCTATCATCAATAGCTTTCTCATTCCAAGACATCAGTATTGACAGAAAACACTGTTTTTCTAGAACATTTAGATAAAGATATTCCAGAAACGTTCCTGCTATTCTACTACGCAAATCATCCTGAAAAAAGAATCCTTAACTACTTGGAACAGGCTCTCACAGAACAACAACGTGCTCCTTTTCTGAGCACTCACAGTGCTTTCTGCTTGAAACAATCTATTGTTAACAAAACTTTTCCATACAACTGTACCTTAAAATGATTGGTTTTCTGTTTCTGCTTCATTCCAAGAGCACCTTTGTTCTGCCCAGGATACGTTAGGGCATAGTGCTGTTACTTCACTCTTTCAACAGCATTTGACACACGCCTCAGACAGGATGCCCTACCAACAGCCACCAAAACACAGCAATGGCTTCAGCATCTTCACTGGACATCTCAATGGTAGCTGACACAAGGTGCTCGTTAGAAACATCAGAGAATGGTTCTCAGACAACCTTCCGGGTAATGCGGTGCAAACAAAACACTTGCCAACATATCACTCGATACATTTAAAAAGCTAACTTCAGATGTGAATTGAAATAAAGTTATACACAATGTGGCAAGAGTACAATTCCAATATGAGAAATGCAAGTCTTCAGTGATAAGTACATGCTAACTAAATGCTCCAAATTCAGTAAGTGGATTTCAGTAAGTGAAAATATTTTGCAATGCTTTAATGCTGTGGTGTTGCTCGCGTGTGATTATAGAGGTAAAGCACTCATTTCTTCTCTACATAAAACACGAAGTCACAGCAAGACTGACCTTCGCAATCTAAGTTTGCACAAAGAGGATGATTTGCAAGCCCACACTGAATAACACAGTGGGAAATCAGTTTATCTACAGTTTGACACTGGCTTCTTCTCCTAGTGAAACAAAGACTAAATCTTTGTGTAAACCCCTAAAAAAAAAAAAAAAAATCCTAAATCAAGAAATACTAGCAACAGGAATTACCCACCAGCTTGGTTTCTTTTTAGATTATGAATATGCTGGTGAACATTTGATACAACCTGTACCCTGGAAGAGAAAATACACAAGCATGTACCTGAGAATACCCGTATTTCTTAATATTTAAAACATCAAACCAGTCCTTCGGAAAACTTGTTCTCTGAGAAGTATTTCCACTGTCATTCACATTGGAAAAAGTACAGAGCCCTCAGTATTTAGAAAGTGTTCTTGCCAGCTACGTGGCCTTCCCGACACATGAAACAGCCGCAGGAGAGAAGTGCTGCCCGCATCTCCTTTCTCTCCAGGCCTGGGCAGGAGGATTCTCCACTTACCCCCTTTCTCTAAGCCCAGAAGCAGCAGCAGGGCTTTTGTCACCAGACACCTGCTGACCCGCACGGTCCAGGACCCTCTCCTCCACCCACCGCCCCCTTCTCTTCCCCCCTCCCGCAGCCCGCACTCACCGGATAACGGGGCTGTAGGGGCTCCGCGACCGCCGCCAGCTGCTGTAGGGACTGGGCGACACATCTCCGCCGCGCTCGTAGGAGCTGTGCCGGCTGTAGCTGGGGGATCGGCGGCGGCTGTAGGGGCTGAGGGGCGAGCGGCCGCCCGCGGGGCTCAGCGACTTGCGGCTCCGCAGGCTCTGCGAGGAGCGATGCAGCGGTGGACTGTCATCCCGGCCAGGGCTGGGGGACGAACGCTGCCGCCGGTAAGCCTTGGGCTCGGGCTTGTCGTCACGGTAGGCCTTCGGCGGGTCCTTGTAAGCCGACGGCGGCTCTTTGGCCGCTTTAGTCCGGCTGCGGTGCGCTTTACTCTCCCGCTCTTTCCTGCCGCTACCGGGCGAGGCAAGGGAGCCCTTCCTGCGGCCGTCGCCGCCGCTCTTGAGTCCCTCCCGGTCCTGGCCCCCGGCGTGGTTGTGGCGGCTGCGGGACTTGGAGGAGGAGGACGAGGCGGCCTCGCTCCCCCCGCGGCCCGCCGCCGCCCCCTCCTGCTGCGCCTTCTCCTCCCCCCGCCGCCGGTGCTCCCGGTGCCGCTCCTTCGAGCGGCCGCTGCCGCTGCGATGCTCCCGGCGGGATCGCCCACTCCTCTCCGCCTCGCCCCGCAGCCGCTGACTCCCGCCTCCGCCGCCGCCCGGGGACGAGGCCGGGCTCCCCGCGCCGCTGCCCGCTCCGCCGCCGGCCGCGCCGCCGCCCACCAGCCCCTCGGACTGGGAGCTCACGTCGTCGTACTCCTCCACCAGCGTGCTCAGCCCCCCGCTACCGCGCCGCTTCTCCGCCTCCTGGGTCCCGCCGCCGCCGCCGCCTCCGCCGCGGCCCCGCCGCCGCTTGTGCCGGGATCCCGAGCGCCGCTTGCCCCGCGGCCGCTTTCGCTCCCCCCCGTCCCCGCAGCAGGAGGAGGCGCCGGTGGCCGCCAGGAAGAGCAGGGACTGTGGCGGCAGCGGCGGCTGCAGGAGCGGGGGCTGCAGGAGGGGCGGCTGCAGGAGCGGGAAGAGCAGCGGGTGCGGGGCCGGCGGCGGGGGGGGAGGCTGCGGCTGGGCCGCGAAGCGCTTCCGTCTCCGGTGATGCAGCCGCTTCTTCTCGGCGGCCGCCTCTGCCGCCGCGCCGCCGCCGCTCCCCCAGCCCCGGCTTCCCCCACTCCCGCCGGCCGCCGCCTCCGAGGTGCTCGGCATCGAGATCACTCGCGGCCGAGGACGAGGACGCGGCCTAGGGACTCCGCCGCCGCCGCCGCCGCCGCCTTCAGGGCGCCATGGAGACGCGGCGCCGCGCCCGCCCCGGGCCGCCCGCCGAGCCTCGCTAGCTTGCTGCTGCCTCCGGCGCCCGCCCGCCGCCCGCCTCACATGGGAGCCCGGGGCCGGGTCGCAGGCCGGCCGGCGGGGCGGCGGGGCCCTCCCGCAACGCGGAAGTGTCTCCTGGGAGGCCTCCTCCGCCTCACTCCATCCCGGGCCGCCGCGGCCTCGCCCGGCTCCAGACCGCGCTGCGCGGGGTTAGGCCGCCCGCGGGCCGCCGCCTCCGCCTCCGCCTCCTCCTCCTCCTCCTTCTCCTCCCGCACGCACCCGCTCCCCGGCCGGGCGGCGGGGTCAGGCCGAAGCCGGGCCGCCTCTCGGCGATGCGTCCGGAGCGGCACGCGGCCCTGCGCTGGCCCCGAGCCCGCTTACCCTGCGCGGCGGTTCTCGGGCGCCGTGTGGCCGCCGGCCGGGAGCGCTGCCCGCGGCTGACACACGCATACACACGCACCGGGGACACGGCCCGGCGGAGCGCGGCGCATGCGCGAGGCCGGCGACGAGAGGAAGCCGCGCCCCGCCAATCGCGCGCCAGGCCGCCTTCCTCACCCGCATGCCCGGAGCCGGGCGCACCGCCTCGCTCTCGCGAGATCTTCCTTCCCTTCTCCTCCGGCTGGCTCTCGTGAGCCCTCATCCCTCCCACCGCCGCGCTCTCGCGGGGTTTTTCTTCTCGCGAGAGCAAGGTGGCGCGAGGGAGGGATGTGGGTCCTGTCAGCTTCGGCGCGGTGCTTCTTCTGAGGGCAGAGTGCATCGCTGCTGCTCTGGCGGTTTGCCACGGGGAAAGTACATACAGCTGGAAAGCTTAAAAATCCTGATGCTGGATTCGGCCTCGAGATTTCCCGTGGTCTGTACCTGCGCCGTTCAGTTAACGTGTGTGAGCAGGGTAGGACGCAAAGCCTGTTCGTGTTTCTGTAGGGGCTTTTGGTGAGAGCTCTGTGCTGAAGCAGTGGTGCGATCCGATGGGGGCACGCGGTGTCTGAGGGATGCGCCTCCCTCCGTTCTTCCCTCCGTGCTGCTATCTTCTGGCGAGTTGAAATAAATGTCAAAAGCATAAGAATTTAAAAAGCTTCGCTGTCAAGCTCCAGCAGTTCTGGGAAACTTTAAAGCGAGATGCTGTGGTGGATACCGGCATTACAGGGGAGTTAGTTCTCATAGGCGTGAACAGCTGTGGTTTATAATGTCTTTAGAAGAGTAGTTATTGAATTAAGTGAGTTAGTTCTGTGCATATGTCTGTACTGAAAGACATAAGATTTCAGCCAGGAGGAGCTGAAGCTCAGCAGAGGAGACTTATTGAAGCTGTTGGTAAGAGAGTTGTATTAGAAAATGAGTTTCTTCAGCTCTGTACGTATACAAAGACTTGGGCCACAACTACAAAGAAGCAGCTCTAAGCTCTCTACTACCTAGCTAAATCATTTGTCCCAACTAAAATTTTTCACATATTATTATTTCACGTGTTAATTCTATTGGTAGCAAATCTTTTACTCTACTCAAGCACAACATAGGCAAACATCCAGGCAGTGCCTGTTCTTTGAGGAGAGTCCAGCTACTTGCCACGTGTCTAAGGGAATGAAACTCCTTCTGCGTGGTATTACTAAAGCAATTCAGGCCAGGTATTTCCTCAGCCTGATCACTTAAGAACAAGAAGTACAAGGCAGATTTAGGATTATCATCTCCATATCCTTTGTTTTACAGCAAAATCTGTATAGTGCAGAGAATCTCATGCAAGCAGTTATCCTGTCTGTTGCTGCTTTGTTCCACAGAGAAACTTGAATAACTGCTTACCAGAATTAAGAAATTGCGTAACAATTTGTACAACTGCAATTAGGTGAAACCAAAGGGGAGACTACACAAAAATAAGAGTTTTAAAGTAGTGAATTGAAGTGGGGTTTTGTTTGTGGTCTTCTTTGTTTGTTTGTTTCTGTGTTGTTGCTTGCTTTAGCAAAATATCATAAAATTTACACATTCTGTACTTTTTCTGTATGTACATGAGAACAGTTCTCTTTGCTATTCCCATTTTATCCAGAATACTAAATATTACTAAATAATAATCATAGAGTATCTCAAGTTGGAAGGGACCCACAAGGATCATTGAGTCTAACTCCTGGCTCCACACAGGACTAACCAGAAATTTAACAATATTTTGGAGACCCTTCTAGAATTCCATCAGAAACAGCTTCCTACTCTCTAACCTGCCCCTCCCCTGACACAGCTCCACGCTGTTCCCTCAGCCCTGTCACTGTCACACAGAGCAGCCGCCATCAGGCCTCCCCTCAGTTCCTCTGCTCTGGGCTGAACAGACCAAGGGACCTCAGCTGCTCCTCATACACTTTGCCCTCCAGACCCTTCATCGTCTTTGTAGCCCTCGTTTGGATGTTCTCCTGTAGTTTTATGTTTTCTTACTGCAATGCCCTAACCTGCACATTGTTCTCAAGGTGAGGCTGCATAGCACAGAGCACAGCAGGACAACCCCTTCCTCTCGCCTGGCTGGCAGTGTGGCCCTGATTATAGAATCATAGAATGGCCTGAGTTGAAAAGGACCACAATGTTCATCCAGTTCCAACCCCCTGCTGTGTGCAGGTCGCCAACCAGCAGCCCAGGCTGCCCAGAGCCACATCCAGCCTGGCCTTGAATGCCTGCAGGGATGGAGCATCCACAGCCTCCTTGGGCAACCTGTTCCTGATGCACCACCCCTGGGTATGGTTGGCCCTTTGGGCTGCCGGGACACATTGCTGACTCAGATTGCTGCCTACTACAACCCCCAGATCTCTTTTCATTGAGCTGCTCTCCTGCCTCCTGTACCCCAGTCTGTATGGGTTGCCCTGTCCTAGAAGCAGAATCTAGAAAATTATGTTTTTAATTCTCATGCAGTTGGTGATTGTGCAGACCAGGACATTAATGTGGTTAAACAGGACTTTCCTCTCATGAAACTGTATTAGCTGTGACCAGTGACTGCAGTGTTTTTCAGGTGTTTTTAAATAATTCCTAGATCTTATCCATAATTTTGCCAGGCACCAAGTGGAAACTGACAGTCCTGTAATCCGTGGGGCCTTCTTTTTTACCCTTCTGAAAAAATTGGATAATATTTGCCAGTTTCCAGTAAAGTAGAACCCCTCCAGATTTCCAAGAGCATTGAAAAATCATTGAGAGACTTCTCATGATGACATCAGCCAGCACTTTGATTAACCTGGGATGAATCCCATTGGGCCCCAAAGGTTTAATGCATGCAATTGGAACAGACAGACAGAAAGCTTGGGCACACCCTGCAGCCTGAGGCTGGGATGGCCACATGTTCCCTAGGCAGCTCTGTCTGTGTAGCTGTATTGGCTCCTATGGCTGGAGAGGGCACAGGGGTGCAGAGGACATGGCTTTCTGCTGGATGTGGGTGATAGCTGCTATTTGAAGTGGCAGACTGATAGTGCCTTCCTTGCACACACTTTTGCAAAAAACTCAACCACAAACACTAAAAAGTTGTTGACTTTCTCTCCTTCCCTTTCCTCACTCCTGCCAATGAAGTATAACGAGGAAGCACCGCTTCTGTCCTGATCCCCCTCCACCTTCTTGTCTTGACACCAAACAAAGGTAATTCCCTAAACCTGCCCTGAAATGCCATGTGAGTGAGCCCCTACCCAGTCCTGAAGAGCTGGGCCAGGTCCACACAACACACAGCAAAGACATTTCTTTATTGGGGAAATCAGGAAGACACATGGCAATGCAAATATAGACAAGTGTTGAAAAATATCTAAGGCATGACTGTTTTTCTTTGTTTGATATTTGAATTATTTTTCTTCTCTTATTTTCTAACTTAAAAAGAAAAAGAAAAAAGTTTGTTGCTCAGTTTTGAAAAAAAAAACACTTGATACCAAGGATAATGGCTCTCCATGTTGACATTCAGTACTTCTTCCTGTCCTGATTAATCTTCCCTTTATCCAAAGGAAAAGGACACTACTTGGAAGCTCCGGGAATGCTGGGGTCCTTCCTGTGGACACTGTTCAGCATTGTGGATGCCAGTCCCAAGCCTGTTCTCTTACTGAAGGCTTGGTGCAGAATTGACATCAACTCTCTGAGAGGGATGAGGGGAAGAATGAGAAAGCAAGGATCATTCAAGCTTCGTGGGTCAGTGGAAGAATTATCAGGGAACGGATGCACCATGTGAGCCTGTGGGACAATCTTGCAGTTGGGGCTGTATCAGCTGATCATGGGATTTTCCCTTGTGGAAGCAGGATGGCCATTTGAGGGAAGAGGACTGAGCTCAGCCCTCCTTCAATGTTTAGAGAAAGGGTTTTTTTTCTTTGTTTGTTTACTGACTGCCTGAGAGCAGTGAGCCTGTGATTCAGCTACAGCTTAAGCTCTTGCAGGTGATTCCAATTCAATCAGTTCTTCTTCCAGTTGTGGATCTACATCCATGGGCTCTCCATCGCTGTCAGGAAGGGCCAGGTATATGGGCATGTTGTTACAGAGCCTCCCTGTCAGCTGCCACTTCTTGTTAGGAGGATCAGTCAAGACCTTTAAGAAGAAAGAACGCAAGTCTCACTTGCAAAAAGAGCTCAGGTAGGAGAATTGACCTCAAACCTCCTTGATGGTTCTGGAAAATATTTCTGTCCTAGCTGCCTAAAAGCAGTGTGCCTGTAGTGGGCCTGCCCTGCTGCAGGTGGCTCCAGTTCAATCCATTCTTCCATTTGATGTCAATCCACCTTCAAGGGCTTTCTCTCTCTTTCAGGCATGTCTACATTGACTTGATTGCACTGCTGCTCCCCATCAGCCAGCACTTCTTCTTCTAGAGAGGTTCCATCCTTCTTCTCTGGATGAATTATTACTGTTGTTCACACTGTTATCAGACATCAGTGTTTTCTGTTCGACCTACTTCTACAAAGTTCTGTTTGTATTGGGAA